ATATCTATGTATAAGATGAAAATGACTACACACTCACCTGATTTAATGAAAATCGGGCAGCAATTCGTTTCCTAAAACGATCGTTTCTAATAAAACCGGGAGTTTTATTGAGAAACCGGGCTCTGCGAAAGGTCGGGCTTCAAAACCAAAAAGATAAATTTTCCGGACTTCTCGGGCACTTCGTGGCGTATTCCGGAGTTATAATTGATACCGGGGCTTCGAGGGAAGTTGAAATGAAAGAAATATTGAAAAAAGGGCTAAAAATGACAAATTTTCAAAGTATACCCGGAAGGTCTCACACCCTCCTATTTATAGGGGCGAGCCTCCTGATCCAACGGCTGAGAAGCCTCCAGGTGTCGCAGATCCGAAGCTCGCAGGGGATGGATCGCACGAGGGCTGCATGTGCGAAGGGGCTGCTGGCTTCTTGTGATTGGACCGAAGCCTAGGTCTGAAGTAGGGCATCCGTGGCAGCCTTGCGAGGGTTCGGCCATGTGCTAAGAGGATACGTGTCGCATCTCTACTAGACCACTTCGGATAAGCTCCCCGGTTCGGATGACTCAGCAACCTTCTTGGACACGCGTCGGATTGCGAAGCGAGGACACGTGGCCGAAGTCCACGTGTGCGAAAATTCCCGGTTTTGGCATTATTCCTCGATTTTCGCACCAAAACTTCTAAAATCAAAACAAATAATGTGGATCTATTTTTCCAAAAACAAGCTGATGGCTAAATGCAAGAACATAGGTGCTAAATAAGTAAGAAATGATAAGTAAAGGTTCAAAGTGAGATTTATAGAAATGGCTAAATGTGAAAATAGATATGCACCTTCTAAAAAATATATTATAATATTGTCTCAATCAACTTTAATTTTACAAACCCAAATTTCGAATAAAAACAAAGAACGGTTTACAAAATAGAATATTTTAAATTATAACTTAATTTTCTAAGATAAATCCAATCACAATGAGATAAACTTACAGCAAGTCCCTAAGTACTTCAGATTAGTATTTCCATCATTCTCATTTGAATCAGACGTAATACTTTTTCTCGAAGTAACTAATGTATTTTTTTAATGTGTAAACCAAATGAGTAAATTTCTTTACAGACCCTTGTTTATCCCGTAGCGTAACTTGTATGCTATTATTAGTCATTTTATTGATATTATCTTTGGATAAATACAAACAAATTTAAAAAATTCATAGCATCAAAACAAAAGTTACTGTGCAAGATTAACCATTTAGATTTTTAATAACTTTGCAGGTCAACTCCATAGGTCAAGCATATCATGTCAGAATTATGGGTTAATTCACTAATTGGTAGTAATGACAATAAGCTGGATCAAAACAATCATGTTATATTCCTTAAGATCAATAAAATTTACAAATTTTATCATAAAGTGAGAACCTTTCATCAAGAAAGTAACATACTGAAAAAATAATTAAACCTTATTCTCTTTAAACTCTAGCATCCCTTGCACCAATGTTATTATGTAGATGTATATAGCTAAAAAAATAATGATTTTTTTATTATATTGCTTAATTTAAAACAAACCTTCTTCTAAGCAGATTGAGTTCCCTTTTTGTTCCGGCTGTAAAACACATAAATAATCAGGCAATTATAAATATATATTTTATTTTCTTATTTTAAAGATTTAAATCTATGAAACATAAAAATAGAAATAGTGTATATAAATTGTACCTTGAAAGCTTGATTATCTCAAGCCTTGATTGAATCAATATCATTCAAACACCAACAAAGTTCAACATGACTACTGTTGATGTCTGCTTCAGCAAATCCTTGGACTCCAATTCTTGAATCAGACTATGATTTCCCAAAAAGTAATCAGATTAGAGAAATATCACAAATGGGTTATAAGTTATCACATAGAAGTCTGGACAACAACTCCAATCCAAGAAATCCTGAAATTAAGAATATGATTTACCACAAGTAAATAAATAATATTAATTATTAGGAATACTTACTTGACCATGATTCTGTGGTTCATATCTTTCCAGACAACATCAGTCTAAACAACATCCACACTTTTGTTTCCTTTTAGAATAAGATTTGTACACATCTACAATGTTCTAAAAATGGTAATGTGAAAACAGAAGAATAATAAGAATCAACTACAACTAAAGCTTGGATTTGCATTTTTAAGAGTGAAGAACAGTTCCTTACAGCTCCAGTTTAGTCTTGGGACATCACCAATACTGAACATCACAACATCACTGAAGCATCAGGGGCAAAATAGTAAAAAAACATGGAATCAAATTTAGAGTTGATTCATTTAATTTCCACCGGTTATGGGTATACATATCACCACAACACAATACAAAGTTGGAAATTTGAAATTTCCAACTTCCACCATCACATAAATTACCATCAACATCAAAACAGAGAAAAAATAATTAAAATTAATTGAAAACTCAAACCAAGAAAAATTGATTGATGAAAAAATAGGGCCCTCGAGTATTGTCAGGAATCAGCGACCATGAAAGATGAAAAATGACAGCATTCGAGTTTATTAGCCTTGGTCACTTATTCCCCTGATTTCCACACACACACAGGGATAACTCTTACCATTCCTCTCAATAATTTCTCAGTAGAGAAAACTCCAAAAAGAGAAACAAAAGAAAAGAAGAAGATATTGCAAGATTAAAAACCAAAAATACATAACATCAAACGATTTTAACATACTTTCAAATGGGAAATAAAGATAAACAAAAGAAAAGAAGAGGAATTTTCCAATTTTATAAATAAGGAGATGATGGTGAGCTGAGTTTTGGAGGTGAAGCTAACCTGATATCAAATTCGTTCTCTCTTCGGCTCTTCTAAATATCATTGATTCATGATTTATGTTTCTTTTGGCTTCGACTCTTCAAATATCATCCATTCAGGATTCCTATTAAATTGGAATCAAAACTTGATAATATTTAAAATTAAAAACCCACAAGTGATTTGAATAGACAATAGATTCGGACAATCAAAACCCTAAAAATAATAAAGCCATTCGAAACAAACAAAATGCTTGAATTAAAGAAAACGTATCCATAGGTAGATGATGGTGATAATAACACACACAAACACTTTGGTGAAGGAGATAGATGAACTGAGTATTTACAATGTGGGATTGAAGGATAAAGCAACAAACTGAAAATGAGCAAAAAAAATATTTTAATGATAGCAGCAGCAGAAGGAGAATCGTAAACAAATGCAAGAGCTAATTCATGAAACAAATTAACACCAAATCTTGCTAATTATCACGAGAATCCCGATAATTTTGGAGTTGATTTCTCTACTATAGTTAGGAAAGTAGCCGAATTGAGGAGTATAGAAGAAATGAGCAAGGCGTAAGGCGTATACAATAGGTGAAGGGCATTTGTGGAAACTCACATCTAAAGAATGAGCGGGAAAATTAGATTGGGAGGGGCTTAGAGAATGTCATTTGTGGAAACTCACATCTAAAGAATGAGCGGGAAAATTAGATTGGGTGGGTTTAGAGAATGTCACCTGGCATAAATCTTCTTATTTATTTATTTATTAGGATTAGGATTAGGATTAGGATAGGGGATATATATATATATATATATATATATATATATATATATATATATATATATCTTCTCTCTACCTAATAAAAACCTCTCTAGGTTTGCCACATGTCCCTCTTATAACCCATAACAATCCATGTGTCATTACCTCCTATATTCACAGAAAAAACTTCCCGCCCAAAACATTATTATCGGACTCTAATCTAACTCTAACTCTAATTTAATCTAAATCTAAATGTAACACTAAATTAACGGAGTGTAATCTAATCAAAATCAAAATCAAATTCAAATTCAATTCAAATAAAATCACTATACTATAAAACGAAAATTTTATTTGTTATCAATCTTTGACCGCCCAATCCACACATTCTGCTACTAATCAGCAAATATGTTTCCTTATTAAACCTGCATTAAAATCCATCATATCACATAAAATCAGCAATGAGTTTTTAATAAGTTTATATTTTTCCAAATATATCTGCATCATAATAGGAATTAAATCAAATCAAATCAAATAAAATATTAACTTCGAATTTGAATGTTTTCTTTCACTTATAAATACGAAACCTTTGAATTCGTTTCCAACATTTTCCTATTCGCATTTTGCTGATTAGCTGAATCATAAAACACTACGATTCTGGTAAGGCATCCCCAAACAACAATGTCATTATTCTTCTCCTTCTGTTTTTTCCTTTCTGCATAAACCATGCAATTCTGTTATTGTTATTGTTATTTTGATTATATATCTATATTCTTCTTCTTCTGTTACTTTGTGTAATATCTTATAGACAAAATCATCATTTTTCTCATATTTAGACACATAATGCATAACTTCATCATATTAATCACCATAAAAAATGGTGACTATAGAAATTAAAAAGGTTTACTATATAAATTAAAAAGGTTTACACATAATGAAATTATATGTTTTAATTTTTGTTAAATACGAATAAGCTTTCTATGCTTTTGTTTCTGTGCAAAACCTAGAAGTGCACCAGAACCTTTTTTTTTTTGGATTTGTTTAGTACATTGCTATAGATTGTAAAAAAGTATGGATATTTCTAATGTTAGACAGCTTTACCCTTTGTATCAATAAGAAAGCTACTTCGAAGTTGTTATGGATATAAATTGAAGAAGTATTTCGAATCTTTTAATAAGAAAAATGTTTACAACATTATTTACCATTATTTTTATATGTTGGACAAATTTACCCTTTATGCCTTATTTGAAAATTATATCTTTTATTTTTTGTTAACTAAGAATAACCTTTATATACTATTGTTTATGTGCAGATAATACGTATAAGTGCACAGAAACCTTTTCTTTTCAGAATTGGTTTACTTTTAAAACTACTTTGGATTGATAAAAAACAATCAAAACAAAAAATAGCCCAAACTGTTACATATATTTTTCATCAAATTTATATAAATTTGTATTTTTTTCAGTTAAATGGGTGATCGCAGTGTCACTTTGATTGATGATGTGGATGCGCTGAGGGACGATTTGACACTAAAAGTTTGTGTCATAAACTTGTGGAACCATATGTCATTCTACAACAAGGATGACATTTGGGCCATTGAATTAATCTTACTTGATGAAAAGGTATCTACACTCTACATATTAATGATTTCTTACACTTAAACACTTAATTACAATTACTTCTTTGTTTATGGTATATAAATTTTTTATAGGGGAGCAAAATCCAAGCTACTGTCTACAAAAAATGTTTGTATCGTTTCAAAAATCTGTTAAAGGATGGGTCATCTTTTTACATCACAAGACCAAGTGTTGCATCACAAAAGCCCGGTAGTTTCAAACTAACTCCTCAAGATCAAAAACTAACATTTGTCCAAGATACTGTTGTTACAGAATGTGCAGAATTTTCTGGATCTAAATTTGGATTTTCATTTGTTGAGTATCAATCTATACTCTCATTTCTACATCCTCAAGATATATCTATTGGTTAGTTAGTATTTATAATTCCCGTTATAAACTAAAAGTTTAATTGGTCTTAATTGTGCTTATCTAATTTATATAATCTCTTCAAATTTTAAACAACTCTTCATTCAATTGTTTTTTTATTTTACAGATGTTATTGGATTGGTAGTTACTGTTAGTGAGATGATGAGAGATAATTCAGATAAGTCTAAACAGAGGCTAACCATTCACATCCAAGATGCAAAGTATGTTTTTTATATCTTTATATTTGTAGTCTATATTATGTTAAAAAAATGACTTTTAATAAACAATTGTTGACTTTTCAGTGCTTTGCAACTCCGTGTAATTTTGTGGGGGTGATTATGCGTACAAGATGCATAATTACATAGATAACAATCCACCAAATCAACATGTTGTTGTTATACTTCAGTTTGCACAGATTACTATTTGGAGAGGTATATTTTTATTTTATCAACACACTTAATCATATTGAATTGTTATACTAATTATTATTATTTTTATTAAAGATCGTCCAAGTGTTAACACCTACTTTACATCTTCAAAGTTGTTCATTAACTCAGAAATTGATGAAATTACTCTCTTCAAAAAAAGGTAACGCATTTCATATAGGTTTTAATTATACAACATTTCATTTCAATAATACTAATAATTTATACTTTATATAATTTACAGTTTAGATGTGGATGATCGTCCTGATTCGTCTTCAAATACAATTTCAGTTATTGAATCTAAACAACTTTCTGAATTTGATGATTTCATAGTTAGAACTAAGCTGAAGACTATTGCTGAGATTTTTGAACCCCTTGAGGTATTTATTCTAATTTTGTAAACTTTTATTTTATTTTATAAAATTATAAAATTATATATATTATAAATTATAAAATTATAAATATAAATACTTTTCTATATACAAATATAATATAACAACTATATCTCTATATGTATCAAAATGAATCTTTAACATGCAAATATTAAATTTGAAATGTACCTGAATAATGCCGCAATGACCTTCGAATAATGAATATGATGTTTCCTCACAAAGGTGAAATCATCATCAATTTAATGTTTGAAAGATACTTTTACCTGATAAGAAAATATAAACAAAATTACTTAAATAAAACTTATAAAATAATAAAATACTATAAATAACAACTTTTTCATGCAGAAAACATATTTCATTATAGTTGGCACTATAAAGGGGATATTGCAAAATGAGAGATGGTTCTATCCCGCATGTACAAACTGCAGTTACTGTGCTCAGGTTAATGATGCAAAAGATGATACTAATGTTCATCAATCAAATGCAAAATCAATTTCTTATGAATGTCATAACAGAAATTGCACAAAAACAACAACTTCTGTTGTACCGAGGTTATTCTTTCTACTATAATCATACAAAAATGTTTTTTACTCCATGTATTTTAATAATATATTTTGTAAACCTATTATAGATTTATGATACCGATACGTGTGAAAGATAATACCGGGACTATCACCTTAACAATGTTTGAAAAAGAAGGAAGATATCTTTTGAAGAGTTCAGCAAATGAGTTGGTTAAAAGAATGACACAGGTCATTTGAATATTTTTAAATGATTATTAGGTTTTGTGTATATGTGAACTTGCACCAAGTTGTATTTATATTATTTTTCGTTGCAGAGTGGAGACGGTACTGAATTTTTTCCGGGGGAGGTTAATGCATTGAAAGGTTTGAAATTGGCATTCAAGATTTCTGTTACAGATTTCAATGTGTCAAAAAAACCAATCAATATGGAATTACCAGAGTCGGTGATAATGTTGATATAATTGAACAACTCGAAAACAAGTTTACTGATTGACAGGTAATTAATTTGTTGATTATTGTTTTTTTTGTTGCTAACTATATGTTCTTATGGGTTTTTTAAAACAATTTTATTGTTATTTTATGTCTTTTGCAGACTGGTATAACACACTCTCTGGATATTGGTTTGGGCGAATTCGAATCTCAAGATAACAGAACTCTAAAGGTTTTATGCATGTTACATTAGATAAATATATTATAAAATAATACTTCGATTTAAATAACAATGTTGTATAATTGTTTATTTATGATGCAATTTCTGGTACCGACGACAACATAACTCCTTCCACTGTTGACAAAAACTCAGCAACAAGCCCAATGAAGTTAAACAACACAACACCCGTTTTAAAACGAAATCTAGAAGAAGTCTTTAATAAAGAATTGAATGAAAACTTATCGTCCTCAAAAACTCCAAAAGTATCTCCAGATGGTCCAGGAAAACAGTTATTGAAGGTGAAGTTGGAAAAAAGTGGCTGACTCGGCTTTTTGTGGTTAATTTGGAAATGAATTCTTTTTTGGAATTTCATGAACAATTTTCAGTTTTTATTTTGCATGGTGGTTTTAAACTATATTGGTTTCATGTTTTAACAATTCTGTTTTTTAAGGTTAAAACTTTGGATTCTATCATTTTATTTTATTTTATTTGTATAGCATGTTATGATTAAATTTTTCCATATTTTTTGTTATACCATCATGGTTTTCCATCTTTATTCGGTTGTTTATTAAATACAGAATCATACATTCTATATGTAATGTATAAACAAAAAACAATGAGTTATAACGAAGCTAAAAATACCAAAAAAAAAAGGTTTTCGATATAACAAGGGTGAAAAAGAGCATGATAAATATGATAAATATCAAAAAATTTACATGTATTATGCCTCTATTTAAAAAAAAAACTAAAATTTGTGGAAGCAGCCAATATACTGAATCTAAAAATACCAAAAATTTTAGTAAGCTGATTTTATTCAACTTTTGGGAAGCATAATTAATGATTACGGTGCATAAATAAAAAAGGACATAAATGTTCAAGTCGATATTAACATGTGTAGTAATCAAATGTAGGTTGCTACTACTTGTAATATTAATTTATTATTTTATCTGCATATTTTGTACATTTGATCAGGTTGCTGCTAGGATTTGTACAGAAACATGTTAAATTTTTTAATTTATTTCATTTTATCTCTTATTCAGTCATTGTACTTTGCCCATGATAAAAAATTAAATTTCCACGTGTCATTTTCACCCATTTTCTTAGAAAATTATTCCCTCCCAAATACATAAAAAATCACACTCAAATTCAAATTAAATTTAAATCAAGATAATTCACGATAATATAAAACTAATTTTTATTTTGAAAATCAATCTTAATCCGCCCATACCTTCTTTGACGAATCCACACACTCTCCTACTAATCAGCAAATTTGTTTCCATATTACGCCTGCATTAAAATTCATTTTAAATAAATTAAGCATCATATCGCATAAAATCAGCAAGGGTTTTTGAATCAATTTATTATTTTCCAAATATATCTGCATCATAATAGGAATTAAATAAATTACAAAATTAACTTCGAATGTTTTCTTTTACTTATAAATATAAAACCCCTAAATTCGTTTCCAACATTTGCCTTTACGCATCTGCTTCGTATCAGAACCTTAAAACACTGCAATTCTGGTAAAGCTATTCTTATTCTTATTCTCCTTGTGTTCCTTTCTTTATATGTTATCTTATAGTCAAAATCTTCATTTTTCTCATACTTACACACAGAAGGATGATTTGGATCATATAAATTACCATAAAAAAACACGAAACTATAGATGTTTATCTGTTATGTTTAGAATCTCGTAGTGGAACCAAAAATCATTTCATTTTTCTCATGCTTAAACACATAACTATAAAATAATAACCGTGACAATATATTTTTTTATTTTTTTGCAGATCAATGGTTGCATCAAATGTTACTTTAATTGTTGATTTAGATGTTCTAAGGGATGATTTAACATTCAAACTTCGTGTTATAAACTTATGGAACCAGAAATCATTCTATAACAAAGATGAGCTTTACTTAATTGAATTGATCTTAATAGATGAACATGTATACTTATAAGTTATTAAGAATGATTCTTTATAATATAGCTTACAATGACCATTTTACTTATTAAAGACAATTTATATCATACTTCTTTTAGGGAAACAAAATCCAAGCAAATGTCTCAAGGAAAAACATCTACAGATTCATAGATATTCTAAAAGATGGTCATGCATTTTACATAAAATGTCCAATCTTTGCATCAGAAAGGATGGGTGGTTTGAGGTTAACTCGTCATCATTATAAACTTACTTTTGTCCATAACACTGTTGTTACTGAGTGTCATGACTTTTATGGGCCTACGTTTTGTTTTGAGTTTGTTGATTATCAAAGTCTTATCTCATTGGTCCATCCTCCAAACATATCAATTGGTTAGTTCATTTGAATATAGTTTAATTATCAAGAAATCTTATGTTTTAATAAAATATTATGTATTCACATTCACAACAATTGATATGTTTGATATTTGTTATTTTTCATAGATGTTATTGGATTAGTGGTTGGAATTGGTGACATGTGGCGAGATAATGCAGACGTGAACAAACACAGACTCATCATCCAAATTCAAGATGCAAAGTTTGTTTAGACATATATTTATTTTGATCACTTAAAATATACAAGAATTTATCTTTTTTACTTTAAAATTTTTATTTTTCAGTGGTTTGCAACTATCTGTCGCTTTGTTGGGTCATTATGCTTACACAATGCAAAACTTTATCGATAACAACGTACACAATCTTCGTATGATTGTTATCCTTCAATTTGCAATGCTTAAAGTTTGGAGAGGTAAATTTATTTTTTTATTAACCTTTATTTTATAATAATAAAAATAACACCTATATTATTTATTTTTTAGGTCGTCCCACAGTTAACACGTACTGTTCCGTGACAAAGCTTTTCATTGACACTGACATTGATGAAATCAATGTTTTCAAGAAGAGGTAATTTATGTTTTATCATTTTATTTCTACAGTTACCCTTGATGTCACTCATATTATTTAACTCTCTTCCTAATAACAGTTTAGATGGAGATGATCCCCCTGATTTGTCATCGAATACACATATAATTATTCCATCTAATCAAGTTTGTCAGCATGATGATTTCAAACTTAAGTTTCAGTGCAAGAGTAATGCTGATGTTTGTCAACACGGTAAAGAGATTATGAAGGTGAAATTGGAAAACATTGGCTGACTTTTGATTTTAAGATCAAGTTTGAAAAAATATGTTTGTTTACATTAATAAACTTCAGTTTTATTTTACATTCTTGTAGTTTTATATTCTCTTTGGAATTTTGAAACATTTATTTAGCACCATTTTTGTTTTAGTGGGTTTCTTAAATAATTTATGCTTTATACAAAAAAACTATATGAAAATTTCGATTTTCATGAACAGACACACAAATAACAAATAGAAGAACATATTGAACCACTAATAAAGAATCACATACAAATGTAAAAGTACAATGTTTTTATAGACGAATTTAAAAATATAGATTTTTCAGGTCTATTTTGGGGGTAAAATGGTCATTTAAATAAATTAAATTTTTTTTTCTATTTTAAGTTGTCACAGTTGAATTATTAGAATGTTAACCGAAAGAATTTATACAGATTAGATTGGATGACGAAAATGAAGGAACTTATGGGAAAAGAAACATATGTGTAATTGACGAATTATGTTTCTGGTTTAATGAGATATTAATTGAAATTGAATTTTTTTTCCATATCATGCCCCTGATGTACTGTAGTGTGAGTTTAAATGACCAAAAGGGCATTTTTAATATTTCATTTCGCAATATTCTTGTCGAGGGAAAATGCTATGAAGTAGTTGCGTAAATAAATTCACAAATAAATGATATTTTTCTTATTATACATATTCTACATCAGTTTCCTGACCTTTTAACAATTTTGTGTTACATAAATTACAGAATAACCCTATAATTGACAGAATGTTCAGTTACCATCTTATTATATGGGTTACATAATTATTTTCATATATGTTGTAACAAAACAAAGCATTGTTAATTTTGGGTTACAAATTAGTTTTAAAGAATCGATTACCCAAAGATGTTATTGTTCTATTTGAGTTTTTAGCTGTTAAAAATAATGTCATTCTTTTTGTCCATATAACAAAAGTGCAGATTGTTGGTCTTATATTCTAATTAAATATCAAAAAAGATCCAGAAATATTAATAATTTGACAAAATAATAGCTATAACCGGATATATATAATAATGGTTAAATTTTTTTAATTAACAATCAATCATGATTTACTTTGCCAACTTTAACTATGTCATTGAATCAAATATGTAAAAACGAAGATATTAGTTTGAACAATACTTTTTGTAATTTGATTCTGCAAAATATTATAGGCAAGCATATTCATCTGATGCCATTCATAGATGTCGAATTAGTATTTCAATAGGACCTCAATTTGTATAAAAAAATTAAATATCTAAACACTAATATGATTTTTTTGTAAATGCTAATTCAGTAATCAAATATTCAAATACATTAACATTAATATGAGTTTGTCTTGCGTTTTTCATATATTTAACCCTAATATTTGGCAAATCTTTTAAAAAATTGCAATCTAATTTCAGAAGGTATATAAAAATATATTAATAACTTATTTACTCATATTAATCGGAATAACATTTGAACAGATTTAACACTAACATCTACCAAATTCGAATTTCAAATTTTCAAACTATTACGCAGATAGTATGAAAATCATAATTTCATTCAAATTGAAAGTTACCTGATTGTCTCTCCAGTCTTGAAGTATTTCGAATTTTTCTTCATACCACTTCCGTTTTCGATCGGTTCTTCAAAAGACATCATTTCTGTACAAAATAATCAGGTATAATTTCTTCCAACTAATCTATGTTTTGTACGTATATTTAGATAATTTTTTACCTTCAATCATCACATCTTCAAACCCTAATCATTCGTACCTTCATTCTGTGACTTCTACATCGTATATTATCGATAAAAACAGACCACTCGGTTCAAATCAGATTCGTTGCTTGTATATTACTTTCTGCCTTCATCGATACCAAGGGACAAACTTCTATAGATTTCTGAAATGAATACCTTGGAGTTGTTAATCTTGATTGTTGAGATATCGATTTTGCTATAACACTGTTCTAGGTCTTCATTTCTATTACGACAAAGGGGGGAAATGGGGTTATTATGATTGCTTTTCGTGTAGGTGGGTTTGTTGTTAAACAATAAATAGTAATTACTATTTTTATTTTAAATAAAAACAATAAAAATAAATAACTTTTATTTTTCTAAATTTTCTATCAATAATATTTAAATAATTTAAATTGGTGTGTATATATATATATATATATATATATATATATATACCCAATTAATATTAAAAGAACTATAATTTAAATAATAACCTCAAAATTTATATTTATATGTTATATTTATTAAATTATGATTTAAATTGACATAAACTATTTAAATTGCCATTTTATCTATTATGCTCAACAATTTATTAAGAAAAATTTATTTATATATGATTATGTAATTTTATGATTTTGAAATATCATTTATTTTTCGTATTTGATTAGTATTCAATTCGTCAAATTAAGTTTATACAAATTACATAAGCTATCAATCGTATGTAACATTTACTATCAAATTGTTAATTTTCTTTTTCAATGTACTTTTTTATTGTTATTATGTATCGAACAAGAATATGGATGCAACGGACGCTAGAGAAAGAAGAAAAAACAGAAAGTTATATTTGGATAACAAAAAATCCAAAAAACATCGCACTACATCATCGTCTCATCATACATCATCGTCTCATCATACACCTACTGCACATGCTATTAATTTTAGCCAATACGGTAACCTTCTTTCTTTATTTTGCATTTATAATATGTTTTATTTATTTATTTTAGTATTAAATATATTATTTTTTTAAAAAAAAATAATAATAAAAATAATAAAAATATATTTGCACTTAATATAAAATATTGACTTTAAGTTGTTTTCTACTATTTTACAGGTTCAAATAACGTTACAGAATCTACAAACGCCAAAGAGAGGAGAAAAAATTAGAAAATTATATTTGGATAATAGAAAATCGAAAGTGTTACTAAGCACATCAACATGTCAAAATTCCTCTATTACACATGCTTCTTACATGTCGAATAATGGTAATTATATTCGTTTATTTTACAATTGATATGCAAATATAAAAATTATATAAAATTTGCAACACTCTTTAATTTATAGTATTTATAAAAATTAATATTTTTTTATTAGTACTAACCATTTTTTCTAATTATATAACAGATGTCTTCAGTCGTCGTCTTAGATTAATATCTACAGATAACTATACAAACGTTACCTTAGACAAGGAAAATATAAACACAACCAAATCATACGTACATCAACATACAAATATGTATCCTCCTTCAAATGGTACGTACTTCTATATACACGAATTTAAGAATATATGCTTCATATTTATATAACTCATAACAATTTCTAACTTTCTAATTTGTATTTTAATCTTACCAGGCAACTATATTTTCAATAATAATGTTCAAACATCCCATACGACTGATAAACATAATTCAATGTTTTGCATTGGCACGACATCCACCAATCGTTCGACAACAATTCATAATTCTCCATCAACAAATTTAAATGTTAGAACTCCCTTTTCTAACATTTCAAACGGTACGCATTTAGAAATATACGAATTTAGAAATGTAAACTTTACTTTTATATAAATCATAACTGTTGGTAACGTTGTAATTGGTATCTTTATTTTATCAGGCAATTATATATACAATAATAACATTCAAACACCAATATCTATTAACAAACATAATTCAATGTTTGTGAATGCCACGTATTTTTCGACAATGATCCAGAATTCTTCATCAATCAAGTTACCAAGAAGAAAGCATCAATTAAAAAGGAAGACTCCGCATATATCCTCTATACCTGTGTTTGACTTGACATTAGATGAAGAAAGTAATGTTGATCATATTGTCGAAGATAAATTCCGCGGTATATCAAAAGGTGATCATAATTCTAATAGTTTTAATATTATTTAAATTTATTAAATAATTTATTTTTTATAATCTTTATATTTTTTTTATATTTTTTTCAATCAACAGATTACTTGGATCATGGAGACGAAATTGTTATATGTCAGATTTGTCATGCAAAATTATGGGTAGATGAATCACTTAGAGGGCAAAAAAAGGCAATACGTCTTATTCCCTATGTTGTGGTTATGGCAAAGTTGAGCTACCACCCTTAAAAGAAGCACCCTCATCTTACAAAAATCTTTACCGTTCCGTAGATTCTAAAAGCAAACACTTCATGAAGAACATTCGACGTTACAATTCAATGTTTTCATTTACATCCATGGGAGGCAAAGTCGATTCATCCATCAACAGAGGCAACGCACCATACATATTCAGACTTAGCGGTCAAAATTATCATAGTATGGGAAGTCTTTTACCTACTGGTGGATCAAAACCAAAATTCTGTCAGTTATACATATATGATACGGAGAACGAGATTTCAAATAGATCGACAAGTATTGGGTATATTTTTACAATAACTTTAATAAACCGTTTTAATTCATTATTTTCTTTACTAACATTAAATATATTTTTTTTAATATTTTTAGTGGACCAACGAGCGCTTCTACATCAACTTCAAGATCATATGATCTCCAGATTATAGAATTTTTGAAGGTTATGTTAGATTCAAACAATGCGTTGGTCAAGTCTTATAGGATGGTAAGAGTCAGTCTTCATGAAAATCTGGGTGCTAACTTGAAGTTAAGATTAATCGGAAAAAGAGAACAAGATGGAAGGACTTATAACTTACAAACTTCTTCTGAGGTAGCTGCTTTAATTGTCGGTGACATTTGTGATTCAATTGAAAAAAGAGACATCATTGTTGAAACCTCATCAGGATTACTAAAGCGTATCAGTGGATTACATCCTTCTTACCTTCTCTTCAGTATCCATTACTTTTTCCATATGGCGATGATGGTTACAGAGTTGACATCCTTCATAGAGGTATTACATCTTCAAGTAACAGCAAGCGCCCAACCTGTACAATGAGAGAATTTTTCGCTTACCGAATTCAAGATAGAGATCAATCGTTCTCACTACTTCTTAATGCAAAAAGGTTGTTCCAACAATTTTTGGTTGATGGTTATACAATGATTGAAAGCGAGCGATTATTTTTCATACGTAAGCAACAAAAAATTCTTAGATGTGAGTCTTATGAGAATCTGCGTAATCACCAAGCACGTGGTAGTACAGATATTTCGAACGTTGGTTAACGTGTGATTTTACCTTCTTCATTTACCGGTGGTGCACGTTATATGATGCAAAACTATTTGGATGCCATGTCGCTATGTAAATGGTTTGGATATCCAGATTTTTTCATAACCTTTACGTGTAATCCAAAATGGCCAGAAGTTCAAAGGTTTCTTAAGGACACTCCACTTCATCTTGAAGATAGACCGGATATATTATGTAGGTTATTTAAGATTAAGTTGGATGCATTTATTAAAGATTTAAGGGAAAATAAAATTTTTGGCAAGGTTCAAGCAGGTATTTGAAATTATACTTATATATATATATATATATATATATATATATATATATATATATATTTCTATATCTTCTTTAGATTCTAACTTCTATCCTATTTGTATATTTTTTATATGCAGTGGTTTACACAATTGAATTTCAAAAAAGAGGTCTGCCTCATAGTCATATATGTCTGTTTATGCATTCTGAATGCAAGCTTCCTACAGTTGAATATATCGATCCAATTATTTCTGCTGAGATTCCAAATATTGATGAAGATCCAGAATTGTATTCACTTGTGAAGGAGTTCATGATTCACGGTCCATGTGGAGCTGAAAATTTCAATTGCCCATGCATGGTGGACAGAAAGTGTTCTAAAAACTTTCCAAAGCAATTCTGTAATCATACTTCAGTTGATTCAGATGGTTTTCCTTTATATAGGAGAAGAAATGATGGAAATTTTGTTGAAAAATCTGGTGTTCAGTTAGATAACAGAAATGTTGTTCCATACAACAAATATCTGTTAAAAAGATATCAGGCACACATTAATGTTGAATGGTGCAATCAAGGATCTTCTATAAAATATTTATTTAAATATATAAACAAGGGTCCTGATAGAGTGACTGTTGCTATGGTGCAAAGCAATAATGATACTGAGAACAATGATGCAGTGGATGAAATCAAAGAATACTATGATTGTAGATATATATCTGCATGTGAAGCATCATGGAAAATTTTTAAATATGATGTTCATTATAGGCATCCTGCTGTGATTAGACTACCTTTTCATTTTCCTGGTCAACAACAAGTTGTATATGAGGCAGACGATGATATTGAAGATGTTCTTGACCGGCCTTTAGTTGCTTCTTCAATGTTCATATCTTGGATGAAGTGTAATGAGATCAATAAAGAAGCACGAAAACTTACATATGTTGAATTTCCCACCAAGTTTGTTTGGAAACCTAAACTTCAAACTTGGAAGCCAAGGGAAGTTGGATTTTCTATTGGTAGAATTCACTCCGTTTCACCTAAGCTTGGCGAAACATATTTTTTAAGAATTCTTTTAAATAAAGTGAAAGGTCCAAAATCCTTCGAAGAAATTCGCACGGTCAATGGTGAAATTTGTTCTTCTTTTAAAGATGCATGCTATAATCTGGGCCTTTTGGATGATGACAAAGAATACATCGAAGCAATTAAGGAAGCAAGTCTTTATGGATCTGGTTTTTATCTGCGTTTCTTATTTGCTACGATGTTATTGTCCAGCAGTTTGTGTAAACCAGAGATTGTGTGGGAAAACACATGGGAATACCTGTCAGATGGAATTCTTTATACTCAACAAAAGAGATTAAAGTCTCCAGGTATTACATGTTTATTACATTATTATTAAAACTATATCATATAAATTTCCAATATGCACTCAATTACATTTTACGTCCCACTTAATCTCTTTTTTAATATGTTGTAACTAATATAGTATTGTTCGTACAGGTTTATCACTAAACGAAGATCAAATTAAAAACTTGACTTTGTTTGAGATAGAACAAATTTTACTCCGAAACAATTCCAGTCTCAAGAACTATAGAAGGATGCCTTACCCAGATGCTGATTTGGTTTCATCTTCAAACAATCGTTTGATAGTCGAGGAGCTAGATTATGACATACCAAATTTGAAGAATGAGTTTGATCGGCTCTTTGTTTCATTAACCGACGAGCAACGCAACATTTTTCTTGACATAATGGCTAAGGTTAAAAATAATAAGGGAGGTGTATTCTTTATTTATGGTTATGGTGGAACGGGTAAGACATTTCTCTGGAAGACAATTTCTGCAGCAATTAGATGCCAAGGAGAGATTGTTTTAAACGTTGCTTCAAGTGGGATCGCTTCATTATTATTGACTGGAGGCAGGACAGCACACTCTCGATTTATAATTCCCATAAATCTTACTGAGGATTCTTTTTGTAGAATAAATCCAAAGAGTGATCTTGCGAGTTTAGTAAGAAAAGCCTCATTGATCATTTGGGATGAAGCACCCATGGTACACAAGCATGCATTTGAAGCTTTAGATCGAACTTTGAAGGATATATTACGATTTGTCGATCCTACAAACTTAAATATTCCATTCGGAGGGAAAGTGGTTGTTTTTGGAGGTGATTTCAGACAAATTCTACCTGTTGTTCCGGGTGGCAGTAGACAAAACATTGTCAACACTTCTTTAAGTTCTTCGTTTTTATGGCAACAATGCAAAGTCCATAAATTAACAAAAAAAACATGAGGTTAACTGTTGGAAGCGATTCATCTGCTGTTGATCGAATAAGGGGTTTTTCAAACTGGCTTTTGGACATAGGAGAATGTAATGTTGGTGGTCCGAATGATGGTGAAGCAATTGTTGATATTCCAGAAGATATTCTCATTAATGATCCATGTGATCCTATAGGTTCATTAATCAATTTTGTATATCCTTCGATTCTTGAAAACTTCAACATTGCGGGTTATTTTCAAGAAAGAGCAATACTTGCTCCCAAGAATGAAGTTGTTGAAGAAATAAATGATCGGTTGCTAAAATTGATTCCAGGAGAGCAAAAAGAATATTTAAGTTCAGATAGACTCTGCCAGTCTGAGTTTGTTCATGATTAGTTTGATGAAAATTTATACTCACATGATGTTTTAAATGGTCTTAAAGTCTCAGGTATGCCCAACCATAATCTCATTTTAAAAGTCGGTGTTCCAGTTATGTTATTGAGAAACATTGATCAGAAAAATGGCTTATGTAATGGCACTAGACTACAAGTCAAATCTTTGGGCAAACGTGTTATTGAGGCAGTTATCATATCTGGAAGTAATATTGGAAACCGGACTTTTATTCCAAGAATGTCTCTAACTCCTACTGAAAACAAGATCCCGTTCAAATTTCAAAGAAGACAGTTTCCATTAGCTGTATGTTTTGCAATGACAATTAATAGAGCCAATGACAGTCTTTATCGAAGGTTGGTTTGTTTCTCAAGGATCCTGTTTTTACACATGGCCAATTGTACGTTGCTTTATCCAGAGTTCAAAGTAGAGAGGGATTAAAGTTGTTAATTTTAGATAAGGATGGTAGACTATCAAATAAAACATCCAACGTTGTGTATAAAGAAGTTTTTAGAAATTTATAAAAATTTCGTACAATTTTATTATTTATATCAATTTATGTTTTTTTTATTTAAATTTTGATTCAATTATACAAAAATGATATTTTCCTAACATATCTACAAATGCAAATTGCCGAACGGATATGAAAACCACTATTCTTTTGTAATTTTAACGAATCATCATATAATTATGACACGACTGATAAAACATCTATATTTATTACTTATTAAAAATTTTATTCTTATTCTTCAATTATTAAGTATTACTATAAATAATATTATTTTTAATTTTATCATCCGTGGTGTCCACGGGTTATAACCTAGTGTGTATATATATATATATATATATATATATATATATATATATATATATATATATATATATATATATAAACCCATTGTTTTACCTCGTTAAACAACGCATTTACCTAATGTTTTATATCAATAACTGATAACCGATTTCAAGTTAATACACCAAAAGATGGTGTGTTTCCATCGATTAGAATCTATATACTTCACATATTCCGACGATTACTCCATTTAATCTAGATTAGAAACTTGAGTAACCAGTTGCAAAGTAACAATAAACATAATTAACTTAAAATCTTGAATAAAATGTATTTTAGTAAGGGTAATTAAAAATACGCTTGGAAATTACCGAACTTACCATTGAAAAGATACAAATACTAAAAAGGAATTCATGTCAATTTTCTTAAGTATATGATTAAATGTCGTGTATGCAAACCTAAAAGATGCACCAACAAATTTTTTATTGTGAAGTTGTCGGTTTGCGACCATTTTTCCTTTGATTTATCTTGCGTATTTTCATTTTCAACACCTAAACAAGGGACCATGCAAGCTATCAACAAGATATTGGTAAGCACACAAAACATACTAAAAAATATCATTTTGATATCCTTTGGGCAGTATTGTGCCCATACTATAGAAATCTTATTAACAAGTTAATAAGAACTCATACTTTAATATTTTACACAAATGAGCAAACAGTAGGGCTTTGAATTTAATTGTATTTTTAAGAAGACTTATGTTTCTTGTCCTTATGCAAATAAATGATGTATATATGTTAATAATGCGGTGCGGTGCGGTTTGAACCGTGATTTCGCAACTGTAAACCGCACCACATAGTGCGGTTTACAAAAACTTCAAACTGCAAACCATACTGCGAACATTGAAAACCTCATTATGCGGAGCGGTGTTGTGTGGTGCGGGCGGTTTGTGCGGTTTATTGCACACCCTTAATTTGAATTTAGATTTCTCATACACAAACGAGGGTATGTGTGTATATTAATAATAATATTCATATTAGTAATTTGTGGAAGGTGATTGAATATGTCACTGATGTGCAAAATGCAAATGATCTAAGTACGACTTTTTGAAGACAATTATAAGTACAAACTACAAAGTGATACAAAGTAACAATTTTAACTGATTTTTAATTTAAGGAAACTATCAATAAATATAATATTTAAATATAAATAATCGAAAAACCATTATTTAATTTTTATTTTGGTTTAATGAAATGTATTATTATTATCAATGAATAACAAAACAATGACAATAACAATGACAGATCATTAATGACAATTTTTTTAACATACATGACAAATGACAAATGAATAACTTTGCTTCTAATAATGTTATGATAGACTTACGATTCATGTAATTATGTAAGATTGTCTTTTATATTATCGTTTTTTTATTGTTTTTACGACAATTATCGAATTCTTATACTGTTGCATTGGTTTATACTCTTCCTCTGTCGCGTGAATTAGCCTCGAGAAATCACACGTTAAATGCGAAATCGCATGTAACCCAACTCCAACTGAAATCGTCACCCCAATTACCTACATCATTATCGATTTTAGTATTTATAAAACCATATGTTTAGTAAAAAGTAAAAACCATTTATAAAATATATATTATTATACTCAGTTTGTGGAAATTGAGATTATCATCGAATGGAACAACAATACCCAACCGAGTCTTGTTCCTAAGCCAAGTAATCGTGTTTCGACAAACAGGTAACAAAATAATCGTCATGTTTAATTTTAAGGTCTCGGCTGATCCTTTAGCAATACAGACACAAGCACCGAGCACTTTATAGACTGCTCGGTTCTTGTACTGAATATACTTCCATATAAACAAAGTAACCATAACTACTGTCCAAAGTACAATCACCCAACATCTCTGCCAATTATCCAGTAAAAAGAACCTGAAATCTCCATACCATCTCCTAATGGGATTACCACTTCGCGTGGTTTTCAGCTTTTGGTTCAACATTTCGCTCAGGTTTCGATTTTCTCCTATCATGTTGTGTGTTTGTGCTTGTAACAATAGCATCTCCAAATTCTCAATCTGTTTAACCTCTTTTCCATTAATCATCATATATATAACCAATTAATTAACTATCTAATGTATGTATATAATATAATCTTACCATGATGTAACCGAGGTTTTCCGGGTCTAACTCTTCCATGATCATAGCGGCGTATTCATCTGCTTGTTTTTTAATATTTGATAACCTGTTAGCTGAAGCACTAAGGCTGATAATCTGCATCATGGGTATAGAATATTAGAATATAGAATATTAATAATCATGCATTTGGAATTTTGGACAAAATATTCTAATCTACCACCCTTAAACTTCTTTTATTTATTGTTCTTGTTGATGAGTGCAATTTTTGACAAAATTAAAAATAGATATACGTATTCCGTAATGTACCTTTCTGACTTCGTCTTCTATGATCCTACCATCTCCATCTCTATCAACCCTGCATTTTTATATATATGTCTACGTATAATTCCCACCTAACAAAAATCTCCATTCCTAATAATTGCCTCTCCTAAATGCCACGTGTCCCTTTTCTACACTTCCTTCATTCCACGTGTCATATGTTAAGCTATCCTATGAATTGTTTTCCCGCCCACTCCTTTGAAGAATCGACATCAGCAATCATGATCATCTCCTATTAATTAGGAATTCAGTTACCATATTCTTCCTGATTTTTTTTGGAATGCTTATCAATCGCTACAGCAAGAAATCAGGAAATCTTCTCCAAATTTAACTTGGATCTACGTTTGTATCTCAACTAAAGCTATTATTTTACGCTTGTAATTTCCAACGCTTCTCTTTCCCATCATCTACAACTCACCAAATCCACTCGAATTAATGGTCCCCGTTACTTCATTGAGGTTACTACTCGACCTCACACTCAAACCTTAATGCCCTTCTCTTATTTCTTATTATGCATGCTAAAATTCAGTCATGGGTTTTTTCTTTTTTTTCTTTTCCAAATACATGTTTCAGATTCCTAGCGGTGAAGTTTATTTCAATTTCATACTTAAAAATCAGATATATGAAGGGTATGTAGATCAAAAGGAGTCTTGTGATGGAAAGAGTACATCTTTATATGCTTATCCATATGTTTTTTGGTCTCTTGAATCAGTAACTCTTTTTGCACACCACCTGTTTGATAAAATGACTGAACCAGATTTTATAATCAGAAAACCATGTAAATCAGGCGGTGAGATTAATTTGTGATCTTGGTTGAGTAGAGTTCTTTTTTTGAGTAGGTTTTAATGTTTTTAACTTTAAATTTTGAAGGCTTTAAAATGTAATTATCATTTGTATTTCAATTTTTCGATTGTAGACTATGGTGTCATGTTTACGTGCCTTAAAAGATGTTGATTATGAATAACTTTCTATGGATGCAGAATAATGATGTGTTTTGTGGATTTGGTAAGATAAAGCTGGTCTTTTTCAGGCATTTGGTGGACATTGAACTCTGACTATATGTAAGGACGTGTTTCATCCTTTTTCAATTGTGAAACTAAGTAAGCTAATAAAAACATGATGATTTGGTGTATTTATGATTTAATATTGTTTTGCATCTATTTTAAAACTAATACAAAGCCTTAACAGGAAAACATGGAAATTTATCCATAAAATCTCTCACTAGGCGAGAATTCTAATTTAGTTATTTCCTTTTTTCATTTTCTTTTTTTATGGGTCTTATATGGTGCGCATTTTTTATTTGTATTGGGAGATGATGTTTCTCAAACAAAAAACAAGTTTTCTATGCTTCTATGACAGAGTATCAGTTGATGATAGCTAATGTTTATGTTGTAGTTATGTTCACATTTGTTTTCTATGTTTTATAACTTTGATCATTTTTTTATTAATATGATCTGTTATGGCATATTCACATATTGTTACTTACATTTGTTCACTTTTTTTCGTTTCCTATTGCAGGCAAGAATTTTGACACTAAATGCAACTTATTATTATTTTAAT